CAGCACCGTCTGCATCCGTATCCGCATCCCATCCCGAGCCTTCCCCAGCCCGGCACAGCACCGTCTGCATCCATATCCACATCCCATCCCGAGCCTTTCCCGGCCCGGCACAGCACCATCTGCATCCGTATCCACATCCCATCCCGAGCCTTCCCCGGCCCAGCACAGCACCATGCACACCTGCATCCCATCCTGAGCGTTCCCGGGCCCGGCACAGCACCCTGTGCATTCCCATCCACATCCCAAGCCTTCCCTGGCCCAGTGCAGCACTGCATGCATCTGCACCCCATCCTGAGCGGGCCCAGCACAGCACCCTGCACGTCCCCATCCACATCCTGAGCATTTCCCAGCCCAGCACAACACCCTGTGCATCCTTGTCTGCATCCCGAGCCTTTCCCAGTCCAGTGCAGCACCCTGCGGATCTGCATCCCGATCCTTCCCCGGCCCGGCACAGCACTGTCTGAATCCCTATCCGCATCCCAAGCCTTCCCTAGCCCAGCACAGCACCCTGTGCATTCTCCTCTGTATCCCGAGCCTTCCTTGGCCCCCTCCTGCTTATCCGGCCGTCGGAGCAGGACAGGCCCGGGCAGCCCCAGCATCGTGCCCAGCAGAGCGAAGAGGCCGCCCGGCATCGCCGCGCTCCGGACGGAGCTGCGTCCGGCTCTGCACGTGCTGCTGCACGGCTGCTCGCTCGCTGCGTGCCTCCCGCTCGCTGCAGCGGCTGCAGAGCCGCGTAGCAAAGAGCAGCTCGAGGAGCACGGGGCTGCTCGGGGCCAGGCCGGGGTTCCCGGCGGCGGGAGAGCCCCTGGGGATCCCTGGATCTGCCCGCGCCGCGCGCACCGCGGGCCCCTTACCTGGGCAGAGCCCTGCGGGAAGCTGAGAATCCCCGCGACGCTGATGCCAACCACTGCAAAAAACAAGGCAATGCACAAGATGATCCAGAACGTCCTGGACAGGGTTTGGAATTGTGCTGGGAGCCGCCTGTCCTGGGAGCCAAGGCAGAACAAGGAGAGAACAGCAGTTAAAATCGGCACTTCTGCAGCTGGTCGTCCTCCTGCGCCGCGAAACGCGCTCCCGGGCACGGCTGGGGCATCCTCGGGACCCGATGTCGGGACGTGGAAGCGGAGCCAGAGCCCTGCCGCGAGGCGGGAGCGATCCCGCCGGATCGGCGCAGCCTCCGAGGAAGGGCTGCGCAGGGAGCCCTGCGTCAGGGGGGCTGCTCTCACCACATTCATTTTGTTTTATAGCAGGAATTCCCAAACAGCCATCAGCGCTCGCAGCAGTGCTGCGAGGGGCAATCCTACCCCCAGTCCTGTCCTTCCACGTATTTACTGTTATTTTCTAGATAAAATTGTTGCTCGATGCTAAGCAAGCTGTTATTTGAAGTTTTTTAAAAAGAAAAAGCTTGCTGTCATGTTGGTGCTGCTAGTGGCTTGATGTAGGAAACATTTTAATTCTGTACTGAAACAGTGCAAGCAGCTTATTGGCACAAAGTCACTTTAACAACGCAAAGGCGGCACTTTCCATAACGATAGCAGCACAGCCCACACTCCAAATAGTCTGTTTCTCACTCCTCTAAGGCGTAGAGAGACATCTAATAATTGCAAGTGGTTGGATTTGCTACAGCCAAACATTGCACCGGCTCTGCAGCCCCCCTCTCAGTTACAGGACTTTTCTATATTCTATTCTATATTCTAAATATATTCCACCACAGAATCAGTGAATATTAAAATGTTAAAACTGCACAGCCAAAATCTTATGAATTCAAATGCAAGAGAACCAAAATGCTACAGCACTTGGCAGATTTTCCACAGTTAAATTCCTTCAGGTGGGAAACAAAATCCGAAGAGGAAACACAAAGGGGGATCCCGGCGGGTGCCCGTGCTCTGCCCGCGCCGCCTGCTCTACCCGCGGTGCCGCGGGGCCCGGAGCGCCGGTGCTTACGTGGACCCGTCCCGTGCGCTCGGCTGCCTTTGGGGGAGCCGGATTGGGGCTCGCTGGAGGCGCCGCCGAGCCCTGCCGGGGCGACGGCCAAAG